AAAAAAAAAAAAAAACGGATAAATTATCTGACATCATCGTATCAGTGTACAAAAATACAAATCTACATTATTTATACGGGGTTTTGTTATTTAACAGTATGACTCAAACCCTGCTTTCATAATCATCGACACAGCAGCTTAATAATGAGATCACTGGGTTATTGTGCAACTGTCCAGTGACTAAACATGGCCCATCAGTTGCTTTCAGTAAATAGTACTAGAGTAAAAGGATTAGGCTTACATGCCATCTAGTGACAGAGCTCACTACTGGTTCTGGGTGAGCTGTAATGGGTTTATCATTAGACTCCAGTATGTTCTAGAAAAACCTGCCACTGATGTTCATTCATGGTGTTGTGACTTGGTCTGGATGTGACAAAACAAAAGAAACCTTTTATAAAAGAGCAGGCCAGAGTGCAGATGGTGAAGACAGTGGGCAATGCAGCAGCACGGCAGTACTGCCACAGACGCCACGTTGCTGTTACAATATGAATAAATAACGCGTTACCCTCGATATGTTTGTCCGAATATGACATTTAAAAGGAGTAAACCTTTATGTAATCTCATATGAAGCCTGCTATGGTTGACTGCAGCGATGATATAACAGGTTGAAGGCCATGTTTGGGCTACGAGTCCGAGACAACGCGAGTACTCCATTAGGAAACATGGCGTTATAACAATTAATGTAGCGTAGAGTGCCATTTAAAAATAAATGTGGATATTGGGTGTCGTTCTGCACCGATTAGGAGCCACTCTTCAATTCGTCCTATGTGTGAAATAGAGAAAGCACGCTGTTGCGATAAAATGTTAGTATGTTGAGTGCTTCCCAGTGCTACCGACCAACACTACACATTTGTGACAGAATGAAGCTGTGTGCAAAAAAAGCTAACAGATGCTAAAAGTTGTCATTTCAATGAAGTTAGCGTTAGTTAGCGGCTGTGCTTGGACTATTAGTTAGAAATGTTGAATGTACGCGTGTTGCTGGCACGTTAAAGTATCTTCACCCATAAACATTTCCTCTTTATTTTTAAATGAGTTTTGGTGTGACGTTGTCCACGGACAGAGCGTAAAACTTGTCAGACAGGTTAACGGTAAGCGCTAGCTAGCCCGTTGCACCCGTTACCTTTCACTGTTGTTGATGATGACTCCGCCGGACTCAGAGTTGTTCTGGTTCAGAGTCATGTCGACGGGCCTCCAGACTCTCCGACAACAAAAGGATATAAAGGTTGTGTTCCTCTATCAGACAACGTATGTGCAGGCCTGTGTGCAGCCTCGGTCGCCTCTCCCTCCGCGGTGATAACGGTTGTTGTGATGATGCCGCTGCACCTGCCCTTCCGCCATACGGGGGAAACGCCCACCGCGTGACGTCACACGCCCCTCGATATGACGTGTGCTTCTTGAAAAAATGAGATGTTATGGGAAATGTGGTGTAAAGCTAGTCATATTAAACCGCTATAAAAAATGTCCCTCAGGTTAAATCTGGGCTCCCTTGGATATGACTGAACAGTGGTGACAAATAATGTGTAGGTTAAGTAATGAAGGGAGAAGTTTCCCGAGGGTTCTATGGTGGATATACCAGTATCATCCACTAAAATGTATGTTATGACTGTAATTATAATAATAAAGTTAGATAAAATGTTATATATATTATAAAATATATAATTGTATTGCGTTGTTAATACGCCTCATGTGATTTATATGTTTTTCTTATATATCCCTGCCATATTTGTTTTTTACATAGCATACTGTGTGTTGAATCCATATATGTTCTACATTCTGTTAATAAACAGGGGGAAAGCAAGGCAGATAGCACTATATGAACTTACTTGCCATGTAAAGACTTTAAGAATATTACACAAAGTGTATCCTTGTAATCTGTATATGTGTGTTTGTATCTACCAAACCTGTCTGTGTGTATGTGTGTACATGCATCTATTTTTACTTAGATGTATATCTGTAGACTTTTATTGCATGGTGACACACTGAATCCCATAGTTACAGGCCAACATGGCCTGTAACATGGCCTGGTGACACACTGAATCCCATAGTTATAGGCCAACATGGCAATATTAGGTTAAACAGAGGAACAAAGAAACACTTCATGCTTTCCAAATCCCTTGTCACAGGAACATGGCAGGGTCATAACAGTTCCTTTTTGATGTGTGATTTCTTGTGAATAGAATAAGGCCTGAACCTTTCACAGTAAGGAACAGCACTTCACAGAATGAGTCAAGGAAAGAAGAGCGGTCAGGTTGCAAAAGTACCCACTTGCTTGTGAAAGATACAACAAGATGCAAAGTCATGGCGTGGGTTGGGAAACAATAGTGGAGGTCTTTGTCTATCTGGCCCTCTCTTTGTCTCTCTCTGACACACACACACACAGTCCCAACCACAATGTGGAACAGAATGGAAGTGACTTCTGTAAATGATATAAAAAAGATACTTTTCTATGTATAATACACAGGATGTGATGTAACTATCTTCAGTGTCTGAGTCAAGAAGAAGAAAATGATATCATACCTGGACCGCACCATGTCTTCACACGAACACACACATATATTGCATTGTGTGACCACCACTCGTGTTTGTTTGATGCTCAAAATTAGAGCCGATACTATTTAGTCTGATTGTTTATTTGTTTTGTTTTTTGGCATTTTTACTTTAGAAATTCCCTAAAATGATAACTCGATTATCAGAAACGTTGCTGATGAATTTGATCTTGCCTACTTCAGTAATAACTGACTAGTTAATTAATTAGTCATTGTAATCAATATTTACTCAATTAAGGAACTTAATCAACGTCAAATTCATTGGCAACTATTTTTATAATCAAGTTATCATTTTAAGGGATTTCTTTCAAATAAAAATGCTAAAGAAAATCACCTGTTCTTGCTTATCAAATGCAAATATTCTCTATTTTTCTTCAACTTGGGCTTTAGGAAATTGTGACGAGCATTTTTTAAACCAAAAAACTGATCAGTTAATCAATAAAATAATCAACAAATGAAAATGACATTATCCCATAAAGGCAAATGTATTTACCTACTCTAAAGACTGGGTACTATCAGTATATCTACTGTTTAGATTCTTTTACATTCTACTACTACACTACATGTTTTCACAGTGGTGTGTATGGTTAGTGCTAAATCTAGCTGAACTAGCAAGCTAAATAAGTTAGCTAAACAGAATCAACTCCTTAACACAAAAGCATATTGAAAAGACTAGTACAAACATATTATATGTACTAACATTTGTGTTTAGCCCATTGAAGCAAAACTTTAGGTACAAAGTGAAAGGGTGTGTGAAATGTCTCTGTGTGTGGTTGAAGACCAACATTCTTGTGCTTGTTAGCCATATAACATATTGCATTTTTCTGTCACAAAAAATGGACACCCAAAACATTTCACAAGCACAATGGTCCATCAGTCAAAGAAAGGATGTAGAAAGGTTTTTAGATACAGATAGAGAGATAGAAAGCCTAGAGATAAAGATGTATGTGTATACATGTGGAGTATTGGCAGACATTAACCCTCAGTGCCGTGACCATAATAGTATAATAGAGTAAATAAACGTAGGTAGGGCTAAAACCACAGAGGGACTGCGGTGCCTCATGTTACATCCACTTTCATTACCCCATTCAGTGTAACGTGAGATTTGCACCATGGATTTAAATTTACCATGGGGTCCATGGTAATAATACTAACAATAAAATAATGAAAGTAGGCCTGGGCAGCAACTTGGCATGCAAAACCCTAAATATGAATACAACCAAGGAGCCAGTAAAGTGATAAAATGTCTATGTTTGTGCTTTGGCTTGGAGTGACTGTGTGTGTTCAAACAAATACAGCAGAGAGAGCTCTGTTATTCTTGCATTCAGACAAAATGCAGGGCACTAGATGAAAAAATAAAACTCTTAAGTCACAGTTATTGATGTTACCACCTTCTACAGGAAGTGATGACTTCCGGCTGCTTTGTGATAGTTCATCGAAACACATCGCACACACAGCTTCCCTATATCACACACACACAGAGCACACAGGCTTACCAGGCTGGAGTCTGCTTGGTTGTCAAATATTAGCAGCATTATGTCAAGTCAAAGTGAGCCCACCAGCACAAGAGACAAGCTCCTGCAAGCACCTGGACAGGTATGGACTTTTATATTCTAATATGTCTAAATTATACTTAATATTTATCTCATTTTAGCTCTCTTCAGTTACTAACCACCTAGTTGTATGTGGCACTGTGGTGATGGCCAAACTGATGATCCTGTCAAATATATTAAAATACCAGCTACTTTTGTTCTAAAAGTGTTTCTCTAGATTGCATTTATTATAACGTCTGCGTAGATTGTCCACCTTTAACCGATCCGTTTTTTCTTTGTGAAATCCCCAACCTAACATTGTCAGATGAGTTACAACAGTTTTAAAAAATTGCACCCAAACACTGAGTCATGTGTTGTCCAAATGGCTATTTCAAGATGCTGTGACTATGAATCATAATTATTTTAGATGTATGCTTGGATCAGATGATGCAGAATGGAGCATATTTCTCATGGAAGACAGCCACACAACATGCTTCTGCGTATGTTGCAACTGTTGGCAGTCGTTGCATTTAGAGACACTGCTATCTGTAAGGTTAATGAAACCATGTATTGGGCAACACGGTATCTTTAGAGTTTTCCAATACTATATGCAAACATGATGTAAATAGCTGTATCTACGCAATGTTGTTGGATACAGGTGTATTTTCCTACTTATTTTTAGAATGGTCATTTCCTTCCTGGTGATTTCTCTGGTTTGAATATTGAGTGAGCTGTTGCCTCTCTAAGTCATTTTCATTATCAGTGATAGAGGAAGTCCCTGACAGAGCAGGCCTTATCAGCAATCAAAAACACAAGCCTTTCTTGAGCCTAGCGATGCTACTTTGCAAAAGAAATATTTTTTCTCTTTTCACTACGAGCTGATGGTGAGATGAGGCCATCTTTAAATGCCCGTTTGTTTCACTTTGATTTGATTGAACTATATGCTTTGACATCAATATTAGATTCCCTGTATTTAAACATAAGCACTTTTATCCTTCTCATTTACAGGAACCTGGCTTAGCAAGAATCAGACAGGTAAAACACACCAGTCTTGCATTTCAAAGTGTAATTTCTTTAGTATTTCTTATAGAAATCAAGTTTCTTTTTTACTACTTAACACTCAGCGACAACACTGCCAGTCTACAGCCACACTAGCAGCTGTAAGGTTGTACTTAGCATGCTAACATGCTAACAGTGACAATGCTCACATGCTAGTGTTTAGTATTTTCACCATCTTAGTTTAGCATTCTAGCGTGCTAATTAGCACTAAACACAAGTACAGCTGAGGCTGATGGGAATGTCTTTAGTTTTGCACGTATTTGGTCATAAAGCAAAGTGTTAAGACAAAATAAAACTTTGTTCTATTGATGGCCCTGAGGAAAAGTCACAGGGTCACTAAGGTTTTTGGAAATTATCCCGAGAGGGACATGAATGTCTGTACCAAATTTCATGTCAATCAATCTCATAGTTGTCAAGATATTTCCATCAAAATACAAATGTCAACGTGTGGGTGGCACCTTAAAGGAAATGTCAGTAGGATTTATCCTCGGAAGACCATGATATGTCTATACAAGACTGAATGGCAATTCATCCAATACTAGTTGAGAAATTCAGTCTGAATCAAAACTGACTGACAAATAGACATTGCCATACAGTGAACATCAAGTTTGTAGTGATTATTTTGCATCATAAAAAGTCAGGATATCTCTGCCTCTGGTGCATCGATTTTGATCATAATTGTTATAATCTGTTTCTCACAAATCCCCAATGTTACGGAATTGCAATAATTGCTGGAGCAGACTTGTCATTTTCACTGTAATGGAGTCTATGAACAACAATTTATACTGTGTGGAAATGAAACAAAACCAATGGCTGTTTTAAAAAAAAAAAAAAATTTAAACAACATCATGGTTTGGAAAATAGTCAACAGTAATGTAGTCAGTCACTAGGTAAGTCACTGGTATGGTGCATTAAGTCAGTGATTCCAGGGCATAAGAGAAAATATTGTGGAGTAACTCAACTAATTTAAAAAAAATCAATTTAATAAAATACATATCAAGTCATCTGTAACACTTGAACCACATGTGTTGAGTGCGTGTCAGTCAGCAAGCAGAGGAGTTTTAAAAGTTAGCTAAAAGTAATGGATGAAATTATCTAAACAGATATATTGTTGAATACTGTAAGTGAAGCTAAAATATGTATAAATTATTGAAGAAACCTCTAAAAAATGATAATTGTTCGTAACACATTGAAATTGTCAAAAGTAATG